AAATTTGCCAGAGATTTGGACATTAAAAAAAAGGTTAAAAAGCTTGTTTGTCTCAGCTTCACGTTATATATAGTTGTTTTCGCTGCTATTGCTAGTAAAACATATTATTTAAAAAATAAGAAATCGAAAAGAAACACTAACATTGCGGAACGATGAGACCTGCACATTTCCTTTCTTGTTTGCTTTACGTTTTCTATTTTTTGGTGCGCTTACTTTTGTCTATTCTTTTGTCATAAAAGTGAAAAACTTACATCGAATACTTGTCCCGAACCGAATTCTGCAACTGTCGCCATGTCAACCGTGTCTATATTGTCAGTTCCATCAATCAATTTGCAAGTGAAACTAACTGTTAAAAGTTTCGTAAATGGTCCATCCTTATGATACTCTGTTAGGGCTGTAACCATCCAGCGAGGCGGGGTATTCACGTTATCTTGTGAAAGAACATGCCACACACCGGGAACCAAGTTATGGCGTCTACGCTTTCCATCAAAGGTTATGAAGTGCGGGTCCCCACAAACAGTACAATCATCTGTAGGAAATAAATAAACCAGTGTCAGTAACACATTTTATGAATATGTTTTCAAACAACATGGCATGTATCTATAATGTGTTGACACAAATCTCAGTAAAACTTACAGGTTGTAATTGAATATTAAAAGATGCATACTTTTGTAGAGATAATAAAAGCTGTTACCATCTTATAGAAAAAAAAAGAAAATTAATCAAAATTTCAACATTTCCCTTAATCAGCCAGACACACATTATCGATTAAAAAATCTCTTCCTTCCCAACCAGGAAATTAATCAAAATTTCAACATTTCCCTTAATCAGCCAGACACACATTATCGATTAAAAAATCTCTTCCTTCCCAACCAGGACCCAGTGAACATTTGTTTGGTTTTTGCTACTTCCTGAGGAGTGGGGAGTTCATTGAAAATATTTATGATAAATGCATTGTTCAGATTGACTGAGAAAATGCATACAGCGTTCAAGGTACATGTAGTATTTTATATTTGTTTTATTTTTGACAATGCTATATTAAAATGGCAGTTGGTTCAGTTTTCGATTTATGACTACAAAATGTGAGTTTTTCTGTCTTGCTACCAGAAATACGTGAAACTCACCTGTCGCAATATTAGTCCCTTGGCTACTGGATTTACCAAGCACTGCCATCAAAATGAGAACTACCGGCACATAGGTCTGCATGGTTCCTGTAATGGTTATAATCAGTTGTTACTGTCAGAATGAAAGTGTTGTCTATCTAGACCCAGGCGTGCTCCGTAGATATATACAGGGTATATATATACACACACGCACACCCACAGAAGGTGTATCTGGTAAAATGTGATTGGTGACTTGGGTCTTAGTATTTGATTTAGATCATTAGAATGATAGTTTGACAGATGACGTTTTGCGGTTATATTTATTTGAATACGACGTACGTTCAACAAGAAGGGAAACTTGTTTACAGTTAAAAGGAAAGAAACATTTTAAGATGGTCATACAGCGGGAAGAAGAAAATATTATTTCGGTAAGTAAAAAACAACAAACTATTCACCATGACCCCGACGTATTAAAAATAATATTATGATGTACATGAAAAAATTCCCTTACGCACAGACTAAGTATAAGACTGTCAGTTTTATTGTCCCATACTCATACTAATTGGACATAATGGATATGTATACGCCTACGGGGAACGTGGACAAGATTTTTCATTTTCAAATGTCCATTCAGAGATTTCACTGGATTTTCAATCTTATTTTAAAAGACTTTCACCGTCTCCCAATCAGGTAGCGATTTAAAAAAATATGTATCATTACCCTGCCTGCCCGCTACCATTTACACGTAAATATTGTGAGCTAGTTTATGTTACAATACAACAAGTCAACATTTTGACTGAGGCACATGACATATAGACAGATTGGATTGATGAATTACAAAATGTGTGTTCATTGTATGTTTACTTAGCTTCAATTCTTTCTTGGGTACAATTAACGAATGGTTCTTCTGCAATTTGTGTAACGACATGGAACTGATTATTTTTGCGAAAGAACCGTTTTGTGGTAAGGACTGGGGGCGTAAAAACTGCTGCTTGCCAATAGTCTTAGAACTGACGATAATTGACAGCCAGCGATAGTTTCTGTCCTTGCAACTTTTTACACCTCAGACCAAACTGGTTCTTTCTTGTTGCAAAAGATGATATCATCAGATGGCGTGGGATTATCTGCATGCACAGCTGTGTAGTTTGAAAAAATGTAGTCATCTTTTCTTTAAATCTATTTTTAATTTAGTAATGTACATGTAGTGTATACAAACATCTAGTAAAAAGATGGAAAAAACGCCCAAAGATTGAGATTCTATGGAACCCCTTCATCAATAAAGTGTATACAGACTGACATTTAATAAAAAGAATAAAAAATAATCAAATATCTTACGGATATAAATGTATATAAAAAGACATTATTCTCAATATGTAGGTCTAGAAGATTCAAGTGAGAGACTGGCAAAAGTGAGTGGGGGTGGGGGGATTCACTCTCACCCAAGAGAGAACACGTACATCTAAAGCAATGGACGTTTTAGAAACAGCATAGCTACGATTTATATTGGCTGGGTAATATAAGCAGGGGATAGGCGGCGATGTCATAGAACAGGACGCAAAATGGTAGTAGTGTTTTATGCTACCCTTGGATTTTTTTAAGATGCTAAAAATCTATTTTAGCCAGCAAAAACGATGATTGTCATTTACTTGATTTGCTCNCCCAAGTATCTGAACCCGCTAGAAGTGTTTGCTCTCTTTCTTTGATTGTGAATTTATCTACTGGGTGATGGATGAGGCAGAAGAGAAACGGTAGGCAACTTGAAAAAAGGGAATGTACGGATTGATGTTGGAAAGCCTGAACATGATGCGATGATTTTGTAAAAAAGATCCAAATTGTGAGAAAGGTGCACATTATTAAGATGGCATTTGTTATGTGTAATGAGAAGAAATGTGGTACAATGATGGAAATAGTTTCAGATTCAGAAGATCTCTACTTCTATGGTTAAGCATATACAAATTATGTCTAAAATGTTTTTATGACCTAATACCTGATAAACCCTAAATCTCAGTTCACTTACTTAACACGATTTTCTTGCTATGTATTTCATCAAAGAAAAAACTGTCGTTATTTCCCCCTCCCGTGCCTCAGTAAAAAGCATTTCCATCTTGAACCTGGTTTGGGAAAAAAAAACGTCGATATTGAGGAAGGAGTGTGGGTTGGAATGCTTTTCTTTTCTTTCGCGCCGACAAAGACAGTTTTGATGTTAAATTTGTCTCTTCAGATGAAATTTAATTTTTTAAAATCTTTGCATATAGGAAATGGGGTCAAAGAGTGCATGTGTTGTTCAATAATAACAAAAGAATAAGGGAGTATAGTTATCATTCCTTCAGGATGATACAATGAAAAATCTGTATTAATAGAAATTGCAACCTAAGGTCAAGTAACATACCATTGCCTAATAAGAGAATGATTACATTTTGGTAATGACGTAATGATGGAAAGTTATGGAAAAAGGGATAATCATAGACATTGTGTAAGAGCTGAGGAATTATTACATTACCAAATAAGGTAATGTAGGAGAAAGACTGTGATACATCATGACATTGGAATGACACTCTATAGGATAAAAGAGAATACATTGTAAATGGAAAATAAGAACAAACAAATAAATCTTTTAGGCTCCCAAAAAGATGTACGTTCTTCATTAATAGTACAGGCGAAATAGCGGTACTATAATACTCTTAAAAGAGTGAGATGCAACTTTGAAGTTTAGATAAGTTAAAAGGACATAAAGGTGAAAAATAATACTAACAATGAATCAACCGGTATCCCCCTGACAACCCCCTACTGTTATGAATGTCATACTGAGAATAAAAAATGTGATATAGAAAAAAAAAACGCCTGGCTTATATCAAAATGTGATTCTCTGATGAATTTACTGACACTTTTTATTGTTTTACCCCCCCCCCTTAATCACGTTGCCTCCCTTTCATCAACGATCTTTTCAAGGTAGAAGTGGGGTAAACAAATAATGTTACTTCTCCAAGTATCCCCCTAATGAATTGTCAGTTTTCACCACTACCCCTTGACATAAATACTTTCTATATTGTAAAACTCAACATTGCTCAACCATGCCGAAAGTCTACTGTGTGTAAAATAGCTCAAAATGATTAAATTAAATTAAACGAGAGTTGCACAGATAAGTCTTAAGGTGTGTATTCAAAGCTAAAGAGATTAAAAAAAGAAATTCAAATGGCAAAGGCTGCAATTGAATCTCCCAACTGATATTTTGAGGGTTTCTTTGGATCAAGTTCAATCTGTGTCCTTACATTGTGAACCAACATGCTGTAGGTAATCTTATTACAGGCTGTCTCAAGTGGACATCAACTCAATGTCACCGAGTTGCCATTCAATTAAGTCATAGTAACCCAGTTAAATGAAACACTACATCAATTCCAAATCTAGAATCTTTTTCTAATGGTTTATTGAGGGAACCTGTATTTGATATCAAGCTTTGAGGTGACCTTTTATTATTGATATTTATGCAATATATTGGACTTTCAAACTAACAATCATTTACATTCATCTCTTATTCCTTTAGACACAGTGTCAATGGATTCTGTTGTTTTTTCCTCCTTAATTAAAAAAAAAACAAAAAAACAAAAACAAAATAGCAGACAATTTTGCTGTAAAATTTATGACACAGGGATGGAAAATTAGTCAGTTTTGTCTCATTGATTCACTTTTTGTTCTAATTTTGGATAGTAGAGGAGGAGAAGAGTGTTCCACTAAAGCTCGGGGAGGTGCAGAGGGGGAGGTGGGGGGCAGCATAGTTCCTTACTAAGGGATACACCTTGCAAGTAATAAAGGTTATCAAGTTACAGGAAAATAAACATGATTAAATTATGTCACATCTATCAGTTGACAACATTCACACTGTTCGCAACGAAAGCACAAGTAAGTTTTCTTTGACATAATAACATTTACTGTTTTCTTTTTCAAATTCACTCATATCTATAAGGTACAATAATTGTGTTAACAACTAGTCTATGTGTAATTCTTCCCTATCACAGCAAGTTATTTTTAGTTGATTACATATAAATCCATTTCAGATCACATATTATCTATATCTTTAGTAAAACATTGGAATTATTGATATGATAGACTTAATCAAAATGAATATAACAACATATTATAACATCATGCCCAGTTTTCCACCTTGGTATTTATAGTTTTTCTTGGTATGAACATAAAATCATATATCCCCTTAAAAAGTGACTGGCCCCAGTCCCTCCTCCAGATCAGACAAAATAAGAAATCATTTAGGCATTTATAGATCTGTCAAACATTGAATACATCTTTGATATTTTCTTGGTATCATCACTTTGTCTACATTGGTCAGTATATGGGTGATTCTCTTCAAGCTTGTTGATAACTTTCTTCTCCAGGTTGGAATCTAATATATGATTATGACACACCTAAAATAAAACAAATAATAAACGACAGATATATATGACTGAAAAATATATATTATACAAGTTTGAATATAATATGCTACTATTCAAGCACATCACTGACTGAAGTCTAAGGTATACATAGTCAGCAAATGCTTGATAAGTGTGCATGTAGTTTATTAAAATCTAGACTGAATATTTGATCTCTTAGCAAACCGATCAATGATTCACTTTAACTTTGAAGTTTAAAGTATTTTTCATAGGAAAAAATTCCATTGAGTAATATGACAAATAAAATACATCATCAGATTTCATTCCCAAAATGGCTGTGGTGAGGTGGGTGATATCAGCATGGAACTCCATTGCACTGGTGGCCTGGGCTTATTACATGACTTATAAGAAATTTCTTTAAGCGTAAACAGAAACAATACTTACATAGTGAAGAAATATAACAACATCGTTCCACCAACTGTCCTGCTTCAAGTCTCCTTTCAAAAATACTGTCACTATGTTTTCAAGCTGTTTTGCTTTGACTAACACTCCACCAACACGGCTGACCAGCTGCAAATGAGAGAGCATTCACATCTAAATTGATCCATGGACTAACGAGTCCTCACATCAAATATGGTGCACACTTGACAATGGATTCCCGCCTCCAACACGCACATTCCCAGCAGGGGCAGAGCAATAAAATCTTGGCACGCTTTCAAGAGGGTGATGTCATTTTTGATCCACGGATCAGTTAGTCCACAGATCAACTTGTTCTGAATGTGCCCTTACTTAACACTTATAGAATTGAACACCAATTTCAATAAAAGCGCAAAAATATGAAAATTACAAGTAATCTTATGCCTGACAAATAGAAATAGAGAAAACCTATTTGTGTTTGTAGATGTATATACTGTGTACACATTATCTGGGTTACTTTATATATTAAAGTCACAGTGTTTTTTTTTCTTTTTTTCCCCCCAAAGAAATTTTACAAATATATGCTTGACCAACGGAACTGACATCTTTTATATACTTTTATATACTTTTAAGTATATAATATTATATTAAAATATACTCACCAAGTTAACAATTGCTAACACACAGGTTGGAGTCTTTCTTGCTTCAAAGGTTTCTAGCAGTGTGGTCAGCATGAATCTATTCCATGGTTGTTCTACCAGACTGTGGCCTGCAGGAGAAAACATTTCAACAATTTTCGAAAATGTAAAAAAATCAAAGATGTTATGTTGCTCAAATTGTTTATTATAATAGCAAGCTGGGGAAGACAAATACCATTTACAGATAAGAGATAACTGACATGTTAAAAAAAATGTAGGCTTGCAATTGGATACTGCAATACAGTGCTGTTAAAATAGAATTAGCTGAAAATATTACCTGTTTTCAATACCTGTGGCTTCAAGTATCGTGTCAGCAAGTTGTGAAGACAAATAAAAGCAACGCACTGCAAATGCCTATTTTCCTGAAATAAATTTGAAGGAATCAATATACCATCAAGGACCAAAGATAAAATCAAATGTCTAACTTTATTTTTTTGCAAAACTGAATTTACTTACTAGAAAAACAAATAATTATTGGCCATTTTCCACTTGTTTCGGAAATTTAAAGCAAAATGCAAATCCAGTCTTATTGAAGGCTAAAACAAAAAGTCCTAGATTTAAAAAAATATGTACGTATGCAAAGAAATGCAGCAGCATGAAATATTATCTATACCTGTGGCATTTACATTTACATAACATTTACCATAAAAACAGCCTGCTGAATGTAAATAAGCAACTTCCTCAAATACTGGGTCTTTATGTGCAATTGTGTATTGTCTCGACCTACAAGATCTGTGTGATCTGTGTCATCCAGTAACTCCACTATAGCACACAATGCAGTAAACTGAGTGGAGAAGTAGACTGCCCAGAACTGTAGAACACTGATCTGCTGGAGATATACTTTGGACTTAGTTCTTTCTAGAAGCCATACCAATTGCAGTTGAACCTGATTTTTCTAAAATGTAAAGTAGAGCAATGTCAGTCTAAAAAAAAAAACCTTTAAGTAATCAGACTCAGTGAGAGCAAAATATATTCTGAGTAATGGACAATCATCCTGACTTACAAGAACCTGTGGCAGACATGGTATCAGTTTGCAAAATGTTTGAAAAAATTTTTTAATATAACATATAAAACACACACATGCTTGGTCTGCCTGTGTAAGTATTGCAAATTGGCATAGTACTGTTATTATAATTCAATCTGCTTTTATCCTTCAATGGAGAACAATGCTTCAGCTTCTGATTTATAAAGTTCCAATGAAGCTATGTTCTAAGCACATAAGAACCCAGACAGACACAAATTAAATTTTCAAACACATTTTAATTGTCCAATAGCTGCAAGAAATCAAATGGCCATGCTTATTAGTATGGTGAAGAGAACAACAACACCTATACACATATGAGATACTTACACATACAATAAGATGTGGAATACTAAAATCCACCTGCTGGAGTACAAGTAATGACAGTAGCTGCAGTGCTTTGGTGGAGACTATGTCCTCATTTGACAAAATAAGGTGTTGGAGAATACAAAGGAAACTTTTGTCTGTCAATATAATGGTTGCAACTGAAACAGCAAAAAATACAGTATGCAATAAAAATATCTTCTTTAGGTTAGTGAAACTTTGTTTTTAGTGTAGTAGTTTACAGATTTTTGATGAATTGAGTAGTGCTGTTTATATAAAATATGAGAAGGAAAGAGATAATTAAAAACATATCTTATTGTTGTACTGGTATTTTAAAAACAATATGCATCAATTTTGTCAAACATAGTTTGACAAAACATAAATATTATCTCTAGCAGGCACTTACATCCTACAAATTTCTCATAAAATACCTCTGTTGTCCTGACTTTTCCCTGCTTGTAGTAATAAATTGGAAAGGAATTCTTCAAACATAATAACCAACTGTTTTGGAATCTTTTCATTGTCATTCCCTAGTAGACTGCAGACTAAGAAAACAGAAAAACCACTATCTTATCAATTCTTGAAGATGAAATATTAAATATTCTGCAAATTCACACTGGGAATTGCTCACAGAAAACATATTGTGTTAAAGCACTCCATATGAATAATTGCAATATTAAACTTATGTACCTTGGTTCACCAACTTGAGGTCTGTGGCATTAATGCCAGTGATGAACTGATCCTGCATAATCAGCAGAATTTCCAACATTGCTGTAAGGTTGTGTTCTGAAACATAGGAGATTATCTCACATCAAATAACAATGCAAAATAAATTTTAAAATGCATTTCAATCTATGGGAATGGGTCTCAAATCTATATTGAAGTCACTAGGATGGGGGGGGGGTGATTAAAAGCAGTTCTAAAGTTCAGCATTTCCTAGAAAAACATGGAATATTTTCATTTACATATGCTAATAATATCCAACTTTTAATTGGACTAAATATCATATTTAAAATAATTTAATTGCCCTTTCATTGAAAGTTGAACTTTGAATGGCTGTGAATGTAAAGAATTTTAATTGCAATCACCATAATCTTTTTATCACCATAAACCAGTAAAATATGAGGTTAAACACAGAAATTATCTGTCCTTGTCAAAAGTAATATATTGAAGATTGTTTAGAGCAATAGTTGAGAGCAGAAAGGGCATAAAGGGATATTAACAGAAAATACATGTGGTCTCACCTGCTTTTTTTACAGACTTAGCAAGGAAAATTCTGTGCACTACATCAGACAACATTTGTTTCAATGTGCTGACAGTTTTGGGGTTTGGTGATTGTTTACCATCCTAAAAATAAACAAAAAGAGAAACACTAAGTTGTTAAGCAATATTTCATATAAGAAGCTTTTTTCTAGAGAGAGATATATTATTCACAATCAACAAAGATTTCAATATATTGGGTGTCAAGTGCACAGTATGGAATATGATTTGTCCTACCTCTTCAAATACTCTTCCCAACAGAAGGGTTACTTTGGAAACACTTTCCTCATCCCCATCAGTCAGGTGACCTTTAGAAATAAATGAACTTTGACAAATATTGAACATATAGAAATTGAGAAATGAGGCACTGACAAAATTAAACCACCAAATGGAAAAGAACCAATGTATTTCAAGCTATCTGATAATACATGTTATTTTTGTATTGCAACAAATGTTTGACAGTTTAATCCATTTTCTATACATAAAACTTTCACATTAATACAGTGAATAGATCATCTTTAAGTCAAAATGGGATAAAAATGCAAAGAAAAAAAAAAAAAAAGAAAAGAAACTTACCAATGCAGCTTGTAAACATTTAGTATTTTCTTTCACCAGTGTAAACAGTTCTGCCCAACCTGGTTCTTGACTCATGTCCAATGGGGAGAGAGACATCTGGGCAGGAATGATACTCAGCCACTGCTTCAACTGTGGAGATTAAATGCCACTAGAGTAAGATACCACTACTGTTTCCTTTTATGTAAATTTTCACCATGCCATAGTCAATCCACATATCCGTCTTTGAAAATAATAAATTCTTTCAAATAATTTCTGACATTTAAAAATAAGATTACTTGATATCTCATTCATATTTAGATGGAGATACATCTGTGTTGAAGTATAAAGTTTTTATAAGGTCATATTCCCACCCCAATGGCAAAGGTTTTGGGTGAGACAAAACCCGAGGCAAGCTTCAGAACATAAATCAGATATAATAACTTCAATACACATTTCATTTGTGTTACATTTACAAGGATAATTCATCAGCAAACTCACGCCTACTGAAACTGAAAAAGGTGCCATAAAAGATTAAACTTACCACATGTTTTCCCTGCATATTGGAGATCTTTGGATTGAGAAAACACCACTGGAATACCTTGGGATGGCCAAGAAGCCACGAGGATGTGCTTGAACATTTGGACATACCCACTGACAGCAGTCGCAAACCTATGTATAAATTTTTTTTTACTTATTCTTTTGGTTTAAAAAAGTTGTAATAGGGTAGATGAAAATTTCAATCATACCTGATGTTCTCCAATGTCAGTAGAGAAGAGGAATGCAATGTAGCATTAAATAAATATAAAACTCTTTAGTGTACTACCTTGTTGTTGTTCCTTTTTCGTATGGGTCTGTGTGGAACCAGTGCATACCTAAGGGGTATGAACAAAGTTGAAACTTTTAACAAGAGGAAAAACATAAAAATTATTACTAAAATTTAAACACACACACACACACACACACACACACACACACATGCATGTGCATAATTACATGCACATGAATTCACATCTAGGAAGGAATGCATTATCCATATAAATATTGAAACTTGTCCTTACAGCTAAATATATAACGCCTCTCTCTAGTAATAAAATTTATAGCTAAATTTGAATAAAAAAGTCTACAAGTTTGTCTCACACTCATCTTGAGCTTCAGAGTGCTACACTTTAAAGGTACATCAACCCTTCAGATACTGTACCTCTCAATTACTGTATAGTGGCATGGACAAGTTTCTATTAATCTTTGAAACTCAGGATGACAAACCCTCATTTAAATTCCATCAATGATACTAACAGCCATTAGGAAGACCAAGCTTTTAAGAGCAGTGTTGGGAAGGAGGTGCACATCTGGGTGGAGACAGAGATAACCACACAGAGTGTCAAACAGCACACTGGGGGAAACACACCTGGAAGATTGGTTTTAAGGTTTTACAGAAGATAGATACCAAAAAATAAATAAATAAATAAATAAAAATAAAAATAAAAAGAGCTGAAAATGCAGCTGGAATAAAAAAAAACACATTTCAAACTGGAAATTAATTTTTAAATAATAATTTAATATTAATTTTTAATTAATTTTTAATTAATAACTCCCCAAGAAATCAAGAGTGTAAGTACAGGTATATTATAGGTATTCATGGGAAAAGGTTGCTGAGCTATGTGTTAGCAATGTGCCTTTAATTAACAAACGGGTAGTTAGAAAAAATGGTGAAATTTTGCAAGTGAACCTTATTAAACAAATATAACTGACATGAAGCTGGATCAGATTCAACATCCCAGAAATCAATTAATTTGAAATTCATAAATAATTACATGCAAGGATGCGATATCACTAAGGTAAAATAAAAACTTGAGAATCACATCCTTCAGTAAATAAATAAATAAATAAATAAATAAAAAAAAGAGAACACAGACCTGTCCCCATATTCATAGCTGAGGTAGAGGAGGTATAATAATACATGTTGCTGAGCAGCATGAACATGATCTGCCTCTACACCAGTTCCATCTGCATGCTGGTTTAATACACTCAAAACATCCACCAGACTGCCTGAAATAATGCTATTATAGTTTTGAATATTGCATCAAAACTGAAATTAAAATAAATTTTCAATAAGATTTACAGGCATTTTAAAAGTCATTATAGCATTAATGCTGCAGTCCATCTAAGATTTAAAAAAAGCTGATGACTTTGAGAAAAGTTATTAATCATCATTACCTTTACTCATATGTTTAGAACTTGATGAAGACAAAACTTACCTTGCAGAAATGTTAATCCTAGCTGCAACTCTCTTTTGAAATCTTCATCTTGGTCACTGGAACCAAACTGGCACAATTCCAACAGGAATTTGTCAATCACTTGTTTAACAGATGTTGATCTATCAGATATCAAAATGTGACTGATTAACATAATATTTCATTATTTTTAGCAGAAAAAATTGTTAAATATGTAAAAACCTGTCACGGTGACTTCACAATTAAGCTGCCTCTGATCTTGGACCTAAATAGAGAAGGACAAGTAACGCGGCATCTTCCTTTGAAGCTATGTGCGTTCGGGTAAACATTCGCCCAGTGTCTCACATAATCTGTTTTGATAGCTCCACGGGCGTCTGAACAGCTTATTATTAAGGTAGCGCGCGCTGTGCTTCAGTGAATTTCTATTGTTTCTCTGCATTGATAACGCAATTTCTCGCAGTCCCTCGTGGTTGCTATGATACAGCATTGCCACCATCTTGCAGTTGCGAGCACACAGGTTTCCGTCAACACGTGGAAATTTATTGAGGGGTTTTCGGCATTTTTCCCCCGTTACCTCATAAAAACGGGTTGTGAAGTTTGTCTGCAATACCTGCTGTCTTTTCCTGTCCGTGAGATAGTCTCTGACAGGACAGGAATACGCACCCATCGACCGGAAATCTCCTTCCTACATGTAGCTGTGACACCCCGGAAATTTCATCTAGGTTTACTTAATTTTAATTAGTTATTTAAGAGTCATATTTGTCGTATTAGTTTGGTAGAAAATAATACACCAGGTACCAAAATATGGCTTTCTGTTTTCAGTCACTGAAAAGCAGTTATAATTCAAGAACTTATTATAAGTATTTATAATATTTGTTTTTTTCAGTCAGCAACTATCTTTCATTTAGCCTATATTTCGTTTTATTTTTCATTAAAAGTTACCCGTTTACAATAGGAGATTAATTTCACCAATACTGATCTTATGGTAATAAAAAATGCATATATTGGATATAAAAAATCTTCTTTTTATTTCTTTTCACTTCCTTTTTTTTTTTTACACAACTTTAAATAATAAAAGATTTGACAAATAAGACGCATATCACTGCAAGAGGGTCAATGTCAAATGTGAGTATGAATTTTATCAGGATCAGATTTTTTAAACCTGTAGTTAGTGTATTCTGAGGTAATTGAATATGCAATTTCAATCAAGCAAGAAAAAACTGTCTAAACATATGATCCATGTTTTTTACATTTGATTTTTTTTTCATTATGAGATAGGAAATATAAAACAACTTGAGTACATTCCAATATTTATTAAACATTAAAATTTTAAAATGCTTGTTACAAAGCTAGTGATGATGAATATACAATACATGTGCAGTTTTCTTGTCTTGTCTCTTTTTGTGAAAGTCATGCTGGAGTTATTTCCTATTTGTATCCAAGTAGTATTAACTTATTTATAAAAGGTATAAACTAATTTCTCATTGACCTATGTGAATTACTGTCCAAATGTTTAATTAGTGCGTCTCCTCTTGGGCAATGGTGCATTGTCCAATTTTAACTTTCCGGCATCTTGTGGAGAGAATCTGGAAGAGAATAAGAATGTATTTATCACAAACTACTATAAATGACAATTGCCTTTTTTACTTCTACTTGGACATTTGAGCCACAGGTAAGCCTTATCAAATGCATCTCAAGATTCTACCTGTCAGGTAGATTTTCCCTCTAGTTAAATTTACTTCCCTTGTTAGGCATGGACTTTCTAGATCATTATCAGCCAGGTAACTAAGCCGTCTGGCCCTTTGATGATTTGATAAAGCCAGCTAGGTGCTATCCAAAGGCATGTCTCAGGATTATTTCAAAGATTTCAAGCACCTGATAACAAGATAATGCAATGTAGCAAGGCAATTACAGAGGTGAGACTCTTATCACAAATGTGATCAAGATCTACTTTTATGACCATTACCCGAGTAAATATAATCATGAACTTTGCATGTGTACATGTCCACATATACACTTTCACTATAAGACCAATGAGGGTGTTTGTCAATCGTCTTTATTCTGTTTAGGGAATCCAATTTAAAAATGAAAAACTAATAATTATTATTCTCAAACTGGAGCAGACTTTAGCCGGTCATGTGAATATACATATATACTTCAGAGTAGAGTTAATGTCAACTTTGATAAAAGGATATTAAAAGGCCCACAGGTGCGTTTTTTGTGTGTCACAATTGCATGGGTGGTGCCATATTGCAATGATAGCCCATATTAAGAGTTAAAAAAATAATAATTATCATTCTCAGAC